CTGTCATTGTATAGATCATTTGATTATGTAATTATAGGGATGAATATTGGAGTGTTAAGGTTTTTTTTTTGTGCGTGTGTGAGGAAGATCAGCCCTGAGCTAACATCCATGCTGATCCTCCTCTTTTTGCTGAGGAAGACTGACCCTGGGCTAACATCTGTGCCTATCTTCCTCTACTTTATATGGGATGCCACCATAGTGTGGCCTGACAAGTGGTGCCTCGGTGTGTGCCCAGGATCCGAACCTGGGCCGCCAGCAGCGGAGCGCGTGCACTTAACCACTACGCCACGGGGCCAGCCCCCTGGACTGTTAAGGTTTTTATCAATGTTAAGGTTTTTTATCAATAGGTTTAGAAACTTGACGTAACTGTTTTGGCAAATAATACATAGCTGCTCACTGGGAAAATCATAATAATGAAAAGCATTCCAAATTCTGAATTTTGTCAAAATATATATTTTGTCACAATCATCTTCAAAAATGTTAAAAGCTAGTTTTGCACTCAGAAGACCTAAATTTAAGTTCTTGTTCTGCCACTAATTTGTTACATAGTGCTGGCAAGCCATTTGACTTCTCTAAGTTTCTGTTCCCTTGTGTCTAAAATGAGTTGGCTAGATGATCTTCAACATGGAGCCGGAATGACAAGGTTCTGTCTGTTCCCCACTGTAGCTCTGGGGTCTGACAGAGTGAGTGGTACATACTTATCATTCATTAAATATTTCTTGCATGAACTTAAGGTGACTTATAATTGTTGCATTCCACGATTTTATGGTATAAATTTGAGGAATTTCTAAATAATATGAAATTGTCACAATATAAATATGCTCACACACACATACACAAACATACTTAAAATGAGGAGATGCCAAGTATTAGGTGAGTTTTACATAGCTCCTTTGTTAAAAGAGAAAAATAAAAGCTTTAAAATAACTGCTGGACAAAATCTATTGGATTAATCTAACTGCCCACTGCAGAATCAAATTTAAGGAAGCATGACTTTTTAGAATTTTCAGAGACTAAGATTTTCATTGAGACACTTTATGATGAGAAACAGCTAAGAGTCCATGTATCTCTATCTATCTGTATTCATTCACACTAATGAAGGAGTAATCTAAGGCAACTAATTTAAAAATCAGATATATATTTCCATTTATTTCTTTCGAAGATAAAGACTCACTTGGACGTGTTAGCATTACACCAAATTGGTGAAAGTTCTTTATGATTTAATCTTATCTTAGCTCACTGGGCTAGCTAAAATTGCTCATTGTAGTCCCAAATTGCCATTTCCCATCCATGTCTCATTTTACAACATTTTCCTTTGCACATCTTTTTGAATCCTCCTTTTCTTTTCACTCAGCTTCCCTCTTCCCCAACCAAAATGTCTTCATTTAGATTAAACTCCTTTACCTAAAGGAATGAATAAATGATTCTTTTCCAGAGGCAGTGATATTTTAAAAGAAAACTATTTCCTAAATGAATCTCTAATTGGCCAAATTTCAGACAATTTGACAATCTCACTAGATTACAAGTGTTCTCTATGTCCCTTAAAACATATCAGTAATTGTCTGGTACAGTGGTTCTTCAAACTTTTTAAGTCATGGAACTCTTGCTTCAAACAAAATCAGGCAGCAGTCCAATGTATGGAAGAGATAAGGTTAAAGTACTCTTTTTTTTTTTTTAATTTTATTTATTTATTTTTCCCCCAAAGCCCCAGTAGATAGCTGTATGTCATAGCTGCACATCCTTCTAGTTGCTGCATGTGGGACGCGGCCCCAGCATGGCCGGAGAAGCGGTGTGTCAGCATGTGCCCGGGACCCGAACCCAGGCTGCCAGCAGCGGAGTGCGCGCACCCAAGCGCTAACCCACGGGGCCGGCCCTAAAGTACTCTTGTTGAAGCAGAGATGGGGATCCAGAACCTTCCCTACTCACCCTGCTTCTCTCCACCAGCCATTGCTGCAGAGGCACATGCCCCAGAACAACCCCGGTGAAAGGCCAGCCCAGATTCTCACACAAATGCACATGCACAAGGTGAGAGAATGTGTGATACGCAAGTAGATAACCTACTCTTGAGCAACCTGAAGGAGCATGTAGATGTCTACTGCAACAATAAATCATATTCACATTTTTTTAAACACTTTGAGAATGTAGCAAAATGAGAAGTGAACAAAGTACCCAATTTAGATTTTGCTTCTTATCCTCTATTTCTATCTCATGTTTGAAACTTTGGTGTGTTACAGGGTTGGGTTGTAAAATAAATATGGTCAACTAAGTGTAATTCCTAAAGTCAGTATTATATTACTAGCTCCTTTAAGAGAACTGGTTTTCCCCTAATTTGGGTTTTCCCTTACTCAAATTTTGAATTTAATCCAACCACCAAGACAATTACTTTCTCCTCTGAAACAAAAGTTCCAGTGGTATTTTCCAGCAGAAAAGATTTTGAAGAAGATGGCCTCCACAACGATCACTCTGATCCACTTTTTGCAATTCTCACCTCCAAGCCAACAGCTCCCTAATCAAACGCTTTCACCTTCCCCCAAAACCTATCCCTCCTCCTGGTTAATGGTTAATGGTTTTGCCACTTACCCATTCACAAAGCTACAATCTTAAAGTCAGCAACCGTTAAATTACTAAGGCAAAGCAAGGCATATTATATAGATCAGGATTTTTCAACCTCAGCACTACTGGGTTTGGGGCAGGATGATTCTCTGTTGTGGGGTCTGTCCTGTGCACTGTAGGGTGTTTAGCAGCATCCCTGGCCTCTATCCACTAGATGCCAGTAGCTCCACCTACCACCCCCTTCTAGGCTTCACAATAAAAAGTGTCTCCAGGCATTGCCAAATGCCTGCTGGAGGCAAAATCAACTCCATTTGAGAACCACTGACGTGGATTATCTCTATTCCTCACACTACCCCAAAAGGTAAGTGTTGTACTTTATTCCACATCATCTGGAAGTGGAAACTGGGCCTTTGAGGAATTAAAAGACTTGTCCTCAGTCATGTGGCTACTATGTGGCAGAGCTGGGTTTCAAAGCACTGTAAAAACTGTCTCCCCTTCTCTCTGGGCCTCTGGTGGTCAGATCCTCCTTGCATCTAGTCTTTTATGTACCTATGTTAATCTTTTATTTGGAAAGTCTTCATTTTGCCCCTTGCTTTCTATTTCCCATGCTATTGTTTTAGCTCAGCCCTGTATTTCTTACCTAGATTATAATAACCAGGCTTTTAATTTATCTCCCACATTTTAGTCTCTTCATTTTTCAATCTCCCTCTCACATTGCTAGCAGAGCTAGCTTTCTCAAACAGATATTATTACACAACTGCCCTATTGAAAAACCTTCTGTGCCTTCCACATTGCCTACAGTAGCAGTACTCTCAAAAGGTGGTCCTGGGACCAGCAGCATCAGTATCACCTGGAAACTTGTTAGAAATGCAAATCCTTGGGTCCCACCCCAGACTACTGAATCAGAAACTGGAGAGTTAGGGCCCAGAAGTCTGTTTCAACACACCCTCCAGGTGGTTCTGATGCCTGCTGAAGTTTGAGAACATCTGACCTACTTGATAGAGTTCTAATGCTGTAGAGTGGCCTAGAAACCCTGACTTTTTCCCCTACCAAGTCTGTTGCCACTACCTTCTCCCTTCCTGTCCTACCCCACGCACTGCCCACCCTTCAATTTCATTCTTCCATTAGCTAACAAACATGTGTTTGTCTTTCTGGTCTAAGCACTCATAATAGAAGCAGGACAATCCAGCTCCTAAGTGGCTCGCTGACCAGAGGCAGGGGTGCTCCAGCCATACCACCCCATCTGGAGTTAGGTACACACCTTGTCAATTTTTTCTTTCTTTTTTATTTTTTCTGGTGAGGAAGATTAGCCCTGAGCTAACATCTGTTGCCAATCCTCCTCTTTTTGCTGAGAAAGATTGGCCCTGGGCTAACATCCGTGCCCATTCTTCCTCTACTCTATATGTGGGACGCCTGCCACAGCATGGCTTGATAAGCTGTGTGTAGGTGCCCGCCTGGGATCTGAACCTGCCAACCCCAGGCCACCAAAGTGGAGGCACGAACTTAACCACTACACCACGGGGCCTGCCCCAACACACCTTGTCATTTTAAGCCACAAGTCTGTGCCATTGAGTCTGCTTCTTCTTGGTGAACTCCTATGTGTTTCATGGCTCATTCTCAAATGTCCTTTTTTCCTTGAATTACTCACAGGGCTAATCCTAGTTTCCCTGAGCATCCACTAGCCTTACACATCCTCTGTTATTTCACTTATCCGTGGTGGCATTAGAGTTTACCTGTCTCCTAGAATACAGGTTATGTGGGGCAAGAGCCTTCTCTCATCTTTGTATAGCCAGCATTATGACAGTGGTGATCAACCCAGCACACATCAGAATCATCCGGGAGCTTCTGAATATACATGGATGCCAAGACTCACTCCCAGGCCTACAGATACAGAATCTTGCAAATCCACATTCACACCATAGTTGAATCATTGCACACCGTCTTGCACAGAGCAGGTATTTAATCAATATTTCTTGAATGTACGTAGCAAGGCTGCCTGGAGGATCTTCTCTGCCTACCCCTTAGCTTGCTTCTCCAGTTTCACTTTTCTTTTGCTTTTAATTTCACTTTCCATTTCCTTTAACTTGAAAGTATTTGCACAACCAAACTGTTCATTTCTGATAAAAGGCAAAATTTTGTTTAGATGATTTTAATTATTGACCTCATCTCTGGCGTCTGAATATATTTTATGTATTGTGAATATATTGTTCACAGTATCAAATATCCAGCAGTAACCCCAAATTAGGGTCACCTGTTAAACAGTCCCTAAAGTATCTTTCTGGATTCCACTCACCTTGCGGCTACTCGCTCACAAGGTGTCCGTGGCTGATCATAGTTATCTTGATTATCCTCTAAGGTGGTTGGGAGACCTTAAACCGACTCACCTGTAGCCCCACAAGCCGGCTCAACTTCCCGGGCGGGGCGGGCGCTGCTACCTGCGCTAAGGTCAGAGGGCGCCTGAGTGGAACTGAAGGGGGAAGTTCCCCGGGCGGTCTCAGCCTGCCGCTGGGAGCGAGAAATCGAAACTCAGCTGTTGAAACCGCTGCCCCTGCTCTTCGGAATCGCATCTCGAGACTCGCTCAGCGTCCCAGCCCGCATCCCTCCTGCAGCGGCGGCGGCCCGGGATCCGGGGCTCTGAACCATGTACAGCCGCAGTAGGGTGGTGGGCTCTGGACAGGGCGCCTCCGCCGCCTCCCGCCCGGCCCGGGTCCCCCCGGAGTGGCGCCAGGAGCAGGACTCCTCGCAAGGCCACAGGCAGGGCTTGGAGGCGTCCCCTGAGGGCCCTTCGCGGGAGAGCCGGGAGCACGCGAGCCAGAGCTTGTAAGTATTTCACAACCTGCCTTTGGGGGCCGGAGCTCAGGCCCCAGATATTCTCACAGGCTCCTTCTTGATCACTGGAGTTTGAAACCACAGGGGCCCAATGACAGGGTTTTTGAGAGAAAGAAGGCTCCTTTGCCTAAACAAAAGCACACTTACAAATTGAGTTTGCCAGTCTGCGGCCCTTTACTGAATATCCGAGTGCCCATTACTTTCATGAATCTGCTGACTGGCTACGGAATTGAAAGATATGGGTGTATAGAAACTGCCTGGGCCTTTTCTAGGTATCTCCAGAACTCATACTCTAACTGGTGTGAAGATAATGTTTTCCTTCCTGGTTTAAAAAAATTGGTGCCCTAAATGGCATCTTCACATCTACTGCGGGGGAAAGGGAAGGGGAAAGGGAAACGTGGTAAGGCGTAGATGCAAATACTGCCTCTAGGAACAGCTTTTGCATCCCAGCAAAACTCCCAGATCAACTAGCCTCTGAGGACCAGAGGGGTGGGACTGAGCGAGTGAGGAGTGAGTGACTGAATGTTTCTTGTTGCTGGAGTTGATAAGTGCTCTACACAGAGTGACTGAATGTTTCTTGTTGCTGGAATTGATAAGTGCTCTACACAGGAACAGAGAGGTAGCATTTATTCTTGGTCTTTGGTTCAGGGACTGCAGTTAGTATCCCAGAAATATTTATTATGCAAAGTGTCAGTGATCTTCTCTTTCCGCCCTACAGAATGAGCTTCTTTAATTCAACAGTATGGTTTGTACAGACATTACTGCTTTTGAAGTGCTGCCTCTGTGAATTGCAACTGTCCAAATGGTTTTATTTTTGGTTCCCCCGTTTCATCAACTTCTAGCCACATGAAAGACAAATGCTGGTTGCTAAGGAACAATATATAAACTTATGACCAATAAACATTTTCTTTCTTCCCTTAACTTTGGAAAGAATTCTTAAGTACCAGATTTTTAATATTATTCAGCTTAGGGTTACCCTTAGATGGAGTGGATGATCTGGGAGATTTCAATTAGAGATTGCTGCATTTCTGTCCTCAGAATAAGAGGTATCTTGGCACAATAGAAGCTCATTAATTTCAAGTAACCTACGTCTCCGTAAGCTGTAGCATTTAATGTAACAGGTCATGGACATATAGTTTCATGTTGATGATAAACACCATCTACGTGCCTTTTTTTCTATTAGAAAGTATCTACTTAGATATAATCATTTATTTGAAAGCTCATATCATCTCATTAACATTAGCAGTTGCATCCATCTGTTTTCTTTTTGATGGTAAATTACCTCAGAATCTTTCTGGACCACACTGCTTAGAAAGGGCTGTTTTCTAATCAATTATCCAGGTCTCCGTACCTGAAGACCTCACTGCATACTATTTTGTGATTTCTAAGATTTGCCAATAGATCATTAGAGAGTACATGGGAGAGTTCAGTTTTCTTTCACAGAACTCTTCTTTTTTTTTCACGTAACCCAGTTGCAATAAGCAGAGTGTTATAAGATACATTCCCTTTTCAGATGTTTAACGTCTAAGATCCTGTTTGGACTACTCTGGATTCTACTTACATCTCCATTAGTCACTCACTTACATCTACTGTTTATTCTCACTTGTCTCCTTTAATGGAAGTGGGAAACCAAGGAACATTTTACTTGAATGGCAAGTAACATCTCAGTAAAATAAACAACCAAAAAAAGCCATTAAGAAGATTTTATTATTATTTTTTTTTTTGGAGAGAAATTAGAAGCACTTTCTGTTGGAAAATTTTAAAAAAAGGAAGGATAAAGTTAAGTGCCTAATAGTGAAGCTTCATTTATTCACTCTCAATTTGAGCTTATTTATATGATAAAGGGTTGAAATTTGACTGTTTTGTGTGCATCTTTCCACTTATTCATTAGGGAAGCCCCAGGGCGGGCATAGGAGCATGGGCTTTGATGCCAGGCAGACTGGAGTTCGAGTTCCGATTCTGCTGTTACTTGTGCTCTGAACTTCAACAAGGTGCTTAGTTGCTTTATGCCTCAGTTTCCTCATTACTTAGAGTGAGATAATACCAACCTCTCAGGGTTATTTTTTTAGTATATGTATGTGCTTGTGTGCATGCATAAAACATAACTTCATGACTGGCAGAACGCAAACATCCAGGAAATGTTGGGTACTGATAGCCTTGAATTCATTTAACAAATGTTTCTTGACCAAGTACTGCCCTGAAGTGGAGTGTTTGTGCCTTGTGAAAACACACTGATCTAAAGCATGCGCCTACATATAAATAAAGAGATTTTAAGGCAATCTCTTAAAATGGTTCCTGAAGACCTGTAATAGACTCTAAGGCAAGGCTGAGTTCTTGACTATATTTGGATTTAAGTAATTACAAGTATTTACTAATTCATATTGGCTTTCCCAATTATTTATATATAGGTTGAAGGAGAAAAAAGCTCACACAAACTTAGAATCTAAAGTAATCCTTTACCCTCTTTTTTCAATATTTTGCTTGTTTGTAAACATCTTACACTCACTTATATTGTCTCTAGATAAATATAAGACTAAGGCATGGGTTTTCCTGGAAGGGATTTTTACCTCACTTTACCCAATTCTGGGCAATAGGCTGTTGCCTGTGATAGCAATACAGGGTTCACTTCATTCAGATACCTGTCTATAACCGGCAGTAGTCCTTTAGCTTGATGCTGTTTGAAGGAAATAAAAAGATATTCTGAAAATGAACCCATAATATGGAATTTTACTATGCAGTTAACTTTAGCGTAATTTATGTACAAACTCAGTTTACCTTAACATATTTGTGGCCTGGTTTATACTGTGAGAACTGTAGAGACTTAAAGATGAGCAATAATAATAGCAAGTGCTTAGGTAGTGCTTAATATGTGAAAGTGCATTATGTATATTAACTCTTTCAATCCTCACAACAATCCTATAATAAGAGAGGCTCTCTAGCTCTGGATATTTAATTAAAAATATAGGAACAAATGACTACTACAGTCATGTGCCACATAACAACATTTTGATCAACAATGGACCGCATATACGACGGTGGTCCCATAAGATTAGTACCAGATAGTCTAGATGTGTAGTAGGCTATACCACCTAGGTTTGTGTAAGTATACTCTCTGTTGTTCACACAACGATGAAATCACCTAACACTGCATTTCTCAGAACGTATCCCTGTCATTAAGCAAAGCATGACTTGTACTCAACAAAAGACAAAGCCTTATGAAGCTTATATTCTAATTGATGGAGTAGATATTATCAAATAATTGCATGAATAACTCTTTATATGCTCTATAAGAGAAAGCTAGGGCGTGAGCTAGTCTTGGGAGCAGGAAAGGTGTTCCCAAGAGGTGATGTTTGAGCTGCAGTCCACAGGATAATTAGGAGTTGTGTGGGGTTTTTTTTCCCTGACAAATACATCGTTCCAATGCCAACTGACTACACTTCAATTCACTTCTGACACTAACTGCTCAGAGTTGGCACAGACGCCACAAGTTAAGGGCTCAGTCCCACAAGTCTGCCCCCACTTTAGGAGCAAGCCATGAATGGGATCCCCAGGCTACCCACGTTTCTGCCCAGCTGACTACAAAATTGCGAGTTCCTACAACTTTCCCCACCCCTAGGTTTGATAATTCACTAGAATGACTCACAGAACTAGTGGGAACCACACTTACAATTACAGTTTTATTATAAAGAATACAACTCAAGAACAGCCGAATGGAAGAGAGACAGAAGGCAAGATATGGGGGTGTTGCATGGAGCTTCAATACCCTCTGTGGGTGGGTCACCCTCCCAACATCTTGATGTGTTCACCAATCTGGAAGCTCCCCAAACCTTGTTGTTCAAGAATTTTTATTTAGGCTTCATTACCTAGGCATAATTTATTAAATTATTGGCTTTTAGTGATTGAACTCAATCTCCAGGCCCTCTCTCGCCCCCAGAGGTTGGGGGTGGAGTGGATCAGAAGGTTCTAACCCTCTAATCACATGGTGGGTTTTTCTGGTATATAGCTCCATCCTGAGGCTATCTAGAAGCCCCCACCAGGAGTCATCTCATTAGCATATTATCATACTCTTATTACTTGGATTTCCAAGGATTTTAGGAGCTCTGTACCAGGAACCAGAGACAAAGACTAAATATTTTTTATTATACCACAGAAGTTTAAGTAGCCTCTGTGGCAACCAGGGAAGCTTCTATTCATACCTCCTTCGAAAGAACTTACTGTGGGGAGCATGGTCAGCTGCCAGCCTCATCTGCCACCCTGTTGGATCCATTACACCCTTTGCTCTGAGAGCATACTTATTCTGCACTCTTCCCAGCCAGTGTCTGAGCATTCCAGGGTACTAGTGCCAGCCCATTCCTGGCCTGTGAGGGACTCCTTTATTGGGTAACATTTGCCAGATGACTCCCCTTTGACCTATCTGAGATTTTCTCAGAACTGCATGGCAGTCTGAGGATCTTCCTACTCAATCCTCCTTCCCTCTCTCTCTTCATGGGTATCAGACCTGCTCATGTTCTCAAGGCTTTCCCTGCCTACTCCTGCTCACTCACCTTTTGTTATTCACAGACATTCCTCCCAATAAATCTCTTGCCTGTCTAATCCCATCTTGATGTCTGCTTCTCAGAGGATCCAAACTGACACAGCCTTTAAGATACACCACACTCCTGAGCACAACAGCTTAGACACTGTGTCTGTTGGAGTGCTGTATATGTGAACTGGGGAAACCCACTCCTTTTTCTTATTTCCTCCCTTGGGGCTCAGGGGACATTCCCTAGTTTCCTTATTCTAACTTTGATACTTTTCCCAGCTTGTACTCTGGGGAAATAACCCTGGTACCTGATACTTTCCCTTCCCTTCATTCTCAAACTCTCAAGGGAGAGTGAAGGGAGAATAAAGGATGGCTTGGTAAGACCACTTATTAATGGCCAATCCCTGATTTTTCTCTTTTCCCGTTAAAGAGCACTACGTTACATTAGTATTAAACATTTTATAAATGT